CTATCAAATCCATCCCAAACCACTCGAAAATCAAAACCATCCATGCACTCAAGTGATAAGTGATAATAAATCGTGTCAGGCTGCTCAAAGTCGCAAATCATGACCGTGTCAGGCTGCTCAAAATCGCAAATCATGAAACAAAATGCTAGAACTCAAAATGACCGATCGAATCGTTATACGAGCTTATTTGGATTAAATTTGAATGGTCATTTTCTTAATCCAAAAAACGGAAATCCAAATCAAAAGTTTTATATTCGATCCAAAGTGCCCAATGCCCACTCCTAGGCATGAGGATTAGGGGTGGGCATCGGTCGGTTCGATTCGGTTTTGAATATTATCGATTTTGCCTATCGGTTATCAGTTTACAAATATCATAACCCGATAACCAAACCGATAAGATATTGGTTATCGGTTATCGGTTAATCAGGTATTGATCATTATCGATTCGGTTATCGATTTACCCGATAAGGTAAAACTAAAATTAAGAGTGCTGATATATATTACCATGGCCTTTGCCAAAGCTCACAGAGGCTGAACGGTGAAGTCAAGCAATTGATGGAAAGAGACGAAAATTTATTTACTGTGTAGCAGTATGAACACTACCTATTTCAGTATTTACTCCATTCCTCGTTGAAGAATGGCATAAAGTTCTACTTGAAGCTGGTTGACATGCCTAATCAGCCCGGTTAATCCAAAATCTAGCATACTCTATAACAAAACAATATCTCCCAACTCATCAAGTTGCTTGAATGGCTTACATATATGTAACTCAGTAACTAAACGATAATAGCAGCTGTCAAGATGCAGATTCAAAGATAATACTTTTCACTCAAGCCCCTTAACTTTATCCTTTTCCAACACGAAGCACAGTAGACAGAGACAGGAACCGGCATCCTCAACGCATATATTATAAATTTCACAAATTCAAGATAAGTTAAAATTCTCACCTTTAGATGAGGCCAGATGGTACAACAATGACATCCATATTTGCATTGTTGGGAGGAAGCTGCAGACGAAGAGGGTAAAGCTTCCCATTCAAAGGACTCTTAGTACACACAGTAATGTCCAAACTCCAAAGTAATAGTTCAAACACATTAATAACAATACAAAATAGTAGCAACCTTAAGATTAACAAGTCCAAAGTCCAAACATAATACTAGTAGTTCAAATTCAAGTAAACAACACAACAACTACTCAATCCTTATAGGCTTCACCAAATTGCGCTCCAAACAACGCTCAACATGCCTCATTAAGGACTTAGTACCAGTTTCTCGTGCATTGTAACATAAAACAAGATGACAATGACTACATCTTACTTTCCACTATCCATCATCACCTTCTTCAGTCCTTTCATAGTGACTCCAAACATGTGAGATAGCTTTGAGACCACAAAGTCGAGGCATGGTTACACCTATTAAACATAAAAAGAAAATATATTAAGTCAAGTAATATTTGTAATTATACTATGTGTTATATAAGTTGAATAATTAACTTACTAAAGTTTTAACTTACAACTATCTAAGATTCTACACATCATCATCGCAGGGTTCGTTTCCAAGATTGGCAAAATCTATGAGAATATATATTAATAAGTCAAACAACAAAAATATTAAATAAACTATTTATAAATATAAAAATAATATACAATCAAACAAACTAAAATATTGCTACCTTGTTCTAGTTGCTCGAGAACATCTAAATCTTCCTCAACACTTACAAGTAATGGCTCACTTCGAAGCCAATCTTGAAGGCACACTAGAACTTCCACCAATTTAGGAGTCAATGAACTCCTAAATGAATCAAGAATACGCCCTCCAGTGCTAAATGCACATTCAGATGCAACAAACCTCTTTTTTCTTTGTCTCTTTACTTTCGATTGAACTGATTGAGATTATGATGTCGCATTTGAATTAGAAGCTCCACTTTCACCAATCACCTTATCAATCATGATATTTTCAGCCATGCTTTTGTGTCACTGTGAGTTTGATTTAAAAGAAATCAAGCAGCGAGGCAACAAAATCTTAAAATGAAACACATATAACTACAGATTTAGCTTAAAATCTTAAAATGAAACACATATAACTACACATAAAAAAGGAAAATATAGATAGAAGAAAATATTTAATGTGGAAGCTATGAACTTTGGTCANNAAGTAAACAACACAACAACTACTCAATCCTTATAGGCTTCACCAAATTGCGCTCCAAACAACGCTCAACATGCCTCATTAAGGACTTAGTACCAGTTTCTCGTGCATTATAACATAAAACAAGATGACAATGACTACATCTTACTTTCCACCATCCATCATCACCTTCTTCAATCCTTTCATAATGACTCCAAACATGTGAGATAGCTTTGAGACCACAAAGTCGAGGCATGGTTACACCTTAAACATAAAAAGAAAATATATTAAGTCAAGTAATATTTGTAATCATACTATGTGTTATATAAGTTGAATAATTAACTTACCAAAGTTTTAACTTACAACTATCTAACATTCTACACATCATCATCGCAGGGTTCGTTTCCAAGATTGGCAAAATCTATGAGAATATATATTAACAAGTCAAACAACAAAAATATTAAATAAACTATTTATAAAAATAATATACAATCAAACAAATTAAAATATTGCTACCTTGTTCTAGTTGCTCGAGAACATCTAAATCTTCCTCAACACTTACAGGTAATGGCTCGCTTCAAAGCCAATCTTGAAGGCACATTAGAACTTCCACCAATTTAGGAGTCAATGAACTCCTAAATGAATCAAGAATACGCCCTCCAGTGCTAAATGCACATTCAGATGCAACACTTGAAATAGGAATAGATAACACATCCCGAGCCATCTCAGCAAGAATGGGGAATCTAGGTGAGTTTACTTTCCACCAAAGCAATATATTACCGTCTGCTATTTCATTTTCAACTTCTTCTGTAAGATATTTTTCCAATTCTGATTTAGAATCTAAACCTCCAATCCCAGCTTTATGTCTTTTTAATTCTTCAAAGAAAGAATCAAAAGATCCAATTGAAGTTTCCATTGTGTCCATCCTGAACAACAAGATTCATAATATGAGCCATACACCTCACGTGAAGGTGCTTACCATTCATGGAATTGGTCCTCCATTTAACTTCTTAGAAAGCTCCTTCACCATCACATCATTTGAACTAGCATTATCAACTGTGACAGTGAAAATCTTTTGTAACCCCCACTCTTTCAAACAATTAACAATACTATTTGCCATATCTTCACCCCTATGACTAGAAATTGGACAAAAGTTGATAATTCTTTTATGCATTTTCCATTCACTATCAATCCAATGAACAGTAATACACATATAATTTATTCGTTGTAAGGAAGTCCAAGTATCAGTGGTAAGGCAAACTCTCTGATCTTTAAAAAGCTTCACCAACTTACGTTTTTCATCATTGAAAAGATCAAAACAGTCCCGAGTCACAGTTCTACGTGAAGGAATTCGAAAAAAGGTTGTGCAACTTTCATAAAATTCATAAAACCTTCCTTTTCAACAAAGCTGAAAGGAAGTTCATCAACGATCACCATACAACACAAAGCCTTCCTACATTGTTCTTGATCAAATTTCCAAGGAACAACAGCTACATCACCCTTATTACCCCCCGGAATAGGTTTAAAGCCTATTTTTGATTGACTTTTTACAACATTTAAAGGCATTTTTGTACAATTGGCCATATGTGTAAGGAGTGATTTCGTACCATTATCTTTTGAATCGGCAAAATATTCTCTTTTGCAATGTTTACAAACACCCTTTTGATTTCCTTCCGGATCAATAATTTGGTCAAAATGTTCCCATGCAACAGACCTCTCTTTTCTTTGTCTCTTTACTTTCGAATGAACTGATTGAGATTGTGATGTTGCATTTGAATTAGAAGCTCCACTTTCACCAATCACCTTATCAATCATGATATTTTCAGCCATGCTTTTGTGTCACTGTGAGTTTGATTTAAAAGAAATCAAGCAGCGAGGCAACAAAATCTTAAAATGAAACACATATAACTACAGATTTAGCTTAAAATCTTAAAATGAAACACATATAACTACACATAAAAAAGAAAAATATGATAAAAGAAAATATTTATGTGGAAGCTATGAACTTTGGTCATTGGCATAGGAATAAGGAAATGCTAATTTGAGGCTTAGCATTCCTAGTTTCAGTAACTGGACCCTAATGTTGAATCCAGAAACCAAATATTTATCCCTTTCGAACAGGATTTGTGAGTCTTCAAAATATGTCTTCAAGAAACCAAACAATCAATGTAGTATAAATTAAAAACTAGCTCAAACGTCTCCTAATCAGCCAAAATGCTTTTGTGTCACTGTGGGTTAATTCTGTCACATTTTAGGGAAACCATTTTTCGAGCTTCATAAAAAAGGAAAATATGCAAAAATTAATTTCTAAGATACCAAACTAAGACGAATTCAGAAATGGGATATGAAACACTGACCTTAGTGCAATGCTCTGCCGGAAAAAGATAATAGAAAACTGAGTCTTGACGGGCTCAGCCGTGGGAGTGTGACCGCGTGAGTCATGAGGCGGAGAATTGGTGAGGGCTTGAGCCGTGTGGCCGGTGGCGGACTAGCGGAGAACTGGTGAGGTCTGAGGGTGAGGACTGAGGGTGACAGGGAGTGAGGCGGACTGGCGGAGAAAGAACTAAGAAAGAGAAAATTAGTATATGAAACCCTAGTATTACTAGTATATACTTAAGGGTAAACTAGTAAATTAGTAAACCCTTATTGGGTTATCGGTTTACCCAATAATAGAATTGCTAAACCGAGCCCGAACCGATAACCCAATAAAATTTTTTTTTATCCATTACCTAACCGTTAACCCAATAACCCAATACCGATAACTCAATAAGTAATTAACGGTTCGGGTTATGGGTTTTACCGGATATATGCCCACCCCTAATGACGATGTTATTCTTTAGTTCGCCGGCATTAGCTCTTTAACTTATTTTAAAAAAAAAAAAAAAAAAAAAAAAAAAAATACCTAACTGGCGGAGGTGCTTATTCAGCTACGTGTGTGTGTCACGGAAAAGATGGCGAAAGGGGGCCCGTAGATCCTCGATACGTTGAATCTAGAAAACCCGGAATTGGCTGTTATGGTAAAAACTCCCTACAAGTGTACCTTTCTTGTCTTTTCTCGCAGTACTGAAAAAGGCTCTGAATTTGGTTTGAAGTGGTGGAAGTTGTAATAGGGCTCAACAGATCGTCAGCATTTTGTAAGTTGTTCACTTTTAACAGATCTTCATTCTTCAGTTTCGTATCTCTTTTCTTTTTGCCTGTATGTGAAGGCGTTAGTTTGCATAGGTGATATCGTTCATGATTTGGTACTTTTGTTTGTCTTGAAGGATTTTTGGGAAAGGGTTTTGTATGTTAATTCCAGTTCTGAATTTTGTATTTAATTATTACTTTTAAGTAATGGAAAGCAATTAATTTATGATCAGGAAATATGATGCCAGGGAATAGTTGTTTTGATTTGCAAGGCTCCATGAGAGCTAATCATCAACAGCTTCAACATTATCAGTCTCATTCGAAACAAGGGGCAATTAATGCAAATTTCCCCCTCACTATAGGTAGTATGCAGCAGGACTGTAACCAGAATATTTCTTTGGCTGATCGGGGTAAGTCTGCTAGTGATGAAGATGAACCAAGTTTTACTGAAGATGCTGCTGATGGTCTCAATGACCTTAATAGGGGAAAAAAGGCAACCCCATGGCAGCGTGTGAAATGGACCGATCAGATGGTGAGGCTGTTGATAACTGCTGTTTCTTACATAGGCGAAGAGACTGCTGCAGAGTATGGTGGAAGAAGAAAATGCTCTAATTTGCATAAGAAAGGGAAATGGAAGTCAGTGTCAAAAGTCATGGCTGAAAGGGGTCATTTTGTTTCACCTCAACAGTGCGAGGATAAATTCAATGACCTAAACAAGAGGTACAAAAGACTCAATGAGATCCTTGGCAGAGGAACTTCCTGTGAGGTAGTTGAAAATCCTGCTCTTTTGGATGTGCTGGATCACGTATCAGAGAAAGGAAAGGAGGAAGTTAGGAAAATCTTAAATTCAAAGCATCTGCATTATGAAGAGATGTGTTCCTACCATAATGGGAACCGCTTACATCTGCCCCCAGATCTTGAACTGCAGCGTTCATTACGTTTGGCTCTTACAAGTAGAGAGGAGCATGATGACAATGATGTTAGGAAGCACCTGCAAGATGACAATGATGAAGATGATCATGAAACTGACTTGGTGGAGGACCAAGATGAGTATGAGGAGAATCATAGCTTGCCTAGGGATCACAGGTTACATGGGATGTCAGGAGGTTTTTCAAAGAGGATAAAACAATGCCAGGGTCATGAAATTGTTACTTCTGGTAATTCCTTGACTACTCTAGATGGTAATAGGACTTTCAGATCTCAACCTCAGAAGGCAAACACTGATGCCAATCAAATGTTTTCCGGATGCAACAAAGCTGATATTCCGCAGAAACAGTGGATGGATCATCGTTCGTTTCAGCTAGAAGAACAGAAGATACAAATTCAGGCGCAAATGTTGGAATTGGAGAAAGAGCGTTTCAATTGGAAAAGATTTAGCAGGAAAAAGGACATTGAATTGGAAATGATGAGAATGGAAAATGAGAGGATTAAACTTGATAATGAATGTATGGCATTGGAGTTGAAGCGAAAGGAAATGCTTGCTGAAAATGTTTAGGCTATTGCTGTTGCGAAAGTTAGCTGTATCAGGGAGTGTGCATCAAAGTTTACATTTCTTAGGGAAGAAAGAAAACCACCTCAGAATCAGGTCTTTTTATGATATTAACTGTGCAAACTGCAAATTACTGCTTTGCCCAATGTTGGCTAATGCTCTTGCATGTATTCTAAGCTTGCAGTTATCCTTGTAAACTTGGTTGATGGTTTCTGATTGTATATTTTGAAAAGAGATCAATCCTGTAACTCTCTTGGGTTTTAGTTTGTCCTTTCTCTTAATGACTGTATGTCTTGCTTACTGTCTAAAAGTGATATGCTTGTTGCAGGGTCCGAGCTGGTTCTAGGAAGCCCTCATTAGTTTTATCTGCTGATGTTTCTAACACACTAATCAAACATAGCTCTATCATTGAGGAACTAGTGTGTTCATCGAATTTTCCTTTTTTTTAAGGCAGAAGGAACACCACTTCAGAATAATGTGTTTCGTGCTATATTAACGGTACAAACTGCTTATTTAATGTTTCTCTCAATATTGGCTAATGTTCTTGCATGGATTTCAAATATAGCATTTGTATGTTGGCTAATCCTATTGTATGGACTTCAAAGCTAGCATCTGTATGTCGGCTGATGCTTGTTCCTGGACTTAAAAGCTAGCCGTCCTCTTTGTCATTCTAGTTGAGGGGCTTCTAGTTCTATGTTTCGAAAAGGGATCTCAGTCCTGTAAATCCATTGGAATTTTAGTTTGTTCTTCTTTCTCTTAAAGACAGTATATCTCCGGCATACCATCCATTAGTGATAAGCTAGCTGCAGGATCCTTTATGTAGCTGGCTCCAGGAAGCCCCATTTAATCCTATCTATTTATATTTTCTACACCCCATCAAATACGTGTTTGTTTGAAGAATGTGTGTGATTTTCTTTTACATGACCTGAACTGTTGTCTTAAATTCCTTACTTGGTTTTGATTCAAATATAACATCGTGGAGTGTGATTGAAGAACCTTTGGCATTTTATAAAAGTTTACAGTTTATTGACTCCAAAAAGGTAGCAGGCCAAGGCAATACATTTGAAAACTCAGAATGGTGTCAATTTCATGGGGCTGTTTTAGATGCCTGGTTACCGGATCATATAAGTAGTTGACAGTATTATCATATTGCTGTAAAGTTTCACTTTATGTGTCATCTCTGTCCCTGGAATTTCCAACTCCCTATAACAACACTATAGCAGGGTGTTTGACCTCTTAAAGTAGCTTGCTAGCTATGTTGCGCGGACTCTCCAAAATGCTGTCGCACCCGTGTCGGATCCTCCAAAAATACACTACTTTTGGAAGATCCGACACGTATCCGGCAACATTTTCGGAGAGTCGGAGCAACATAGCTTGCTAGTGATTTCTTAAGGCGGTACCTTACATATATAATTGGCTTTTCCATTTGTGGTCTTCTGAGAAGCAAATTGTACTCATCTTGGAGTTTTGCAATGGAAAAGTTCATATTGGATATACAAGGTATGATTTGATTATTTTTTTTTCCCTATAAAAAAGGTATCATTTGATTACTGATTTATTCATTTCTTTATCCAATGTTGCTTCTGCTCTTAATTTCTCCAAGTTGATTTGTTTTGGTTTGAAGGGAAGTATTTGAAGATCTTTCTTGAAGTGCGGAAGTGGTTTCTTCTTTCGAATATCAGGTCAGTCACTTATTGAATATTTGTTTGTAAAAAATATTTGTTATCCTTGGTTATTAGTATATGTTTTTACCTTAGATCTACCTCCTTTACATTATAGTTTAGAATATCAAGTCATCATCTTGGACTGGTGTCGTTTTTTGTTTGTTTCTAGGGTACCCCTACTCTCCGCCCCCCTAGCTCAATGCAGTGGGGAGAAGTTCTTAAGTAATGGGTGAGGGGATGAGAGTGATGGAGCATGAAAATGTGCGATCTCTTTCTCGAGTGCACATATAGTTTAACAAATAACATATATAGTCAGACTTCTCTATAACAACATCACTGTATAACAATCATTCACTATAAAAAGCCAAGTTTTTATGGAACCAAATTTTATGCTATGTTATAATATACGTTCTCTATAACAGCACTTCGCTATACCAGCCAAAAAAATCTGGAACAAATGAGGTTGTTATAGGGAGATTTGACTGTAACTGTATACGAAAATTACTACACACTTACGAACATGAGTTCCGTGTATCGATCTTGTATGACAAGGTAAGCTAACTCTCATTGTTCCCACATTACCTTTTTTTGACACAAAGAAGGTTAACGAGGGACACTGCCATGAGTCTCATTGAACATCTACAAGAAGGTGAGGCAACAAGTGGCTTTCCTAAGGGCTAAGGCTATGGACCTGGGCATTCACACCTTTGTTGAGTAGTCACATGTTTTAACTGAGACAATCTCTCATATCCCATATCTTCTGTATATTTAATAGGAAAAGTCTTTCTTTAAATTGAGTGTTCTATTTTGTCATAATGAAAACTACAATGACTAATTGTTGCACTAGAGCTTAACATAAAGGCAGAAACATGATGGCAAAATTGTATAGATGCAAAATTGCTGCTACTATCATATATGGAAACTAGGGATGTATATGGACCGGGTTGGTTCGGTTTTTATCAAAACCGAACTAAACCAACTACAACGATTTGGATTGGTTCGGTTTTATTGGATTTTTTTGGTTTTTTGTTACTTAAATATTACTTTAATCTTACTTTGTTAATTTTTTTATTAGTAAACATATATTTGGTAAAAATTTAAAAATTGACAAACATATTATCTATTAAAATATTCTTATGGGAGACTTTGGTACACATGATAGTTATTTTTTTAGTCGTCTGACAGTAATTTTTCGTTGATGTACACAACAACCCAGTAGAACCCCAATAGTAGGGTCTGGAAAGGGTAGAGCGTAAGCAGACCATATCCCTACCCTCCTGGGGTAGGGAGGCTAAAAATTAAACATAAAAATCTATATGATACCTAAATAATAATAACCACTTCAAATTCGAAAAAGATATAAGAATTTAATTGATCTTGACATATGAATATATGGAAAAACAAAGAGGTTGATGCATTTCAGTAACACTTGATAAGAAAGTGATCATACAACCTATTATTTAAGGTTAATAAATATGGAGCACTTCATATTCTATTAAATATTATATCCTGTAAGAGAATCTTAAATATTTCTAGACATTTTTAAAGAAAATTCTATATAAAATCTTAAAGTGTTATGAAATATTATAATTATATTAGTGGATGTCTATAATTCCTAAAGAAATTACTCCCACTACTCTTCTCCATTATGTAGATAACTCTCACTACTTCTCACCATTATAGTTGTAACTCCCACACCTCCATAACTTCCCCATGTTCTTCCTCCATGATCTTAAATGTTTAATGTCATGTTTATGGAATTCTTTTGTATGCCTCTATGTAATCCTATAAATAGAGGGTTTTGGCACCACATTGTATATACTTGAATACGTGCAAGAAATAAGAATCTCTTCTCTCTTGCTCCCTACATTCTTGTCTATTGTCTTGTTTTATATTATTACTTTGAGCTAAGTTTCGTAACACGTTATCAGCACGAATTGCTATTTTCTCTCAGACTTCCTAAAAGGGATAAACGCTCTCCACGAGAGCTACAACTTCTTTTGCCAAGGAAAACTTTGGATTACATCTCGTCTGAGATCTTGTGGTAATCATGGAAGATGATACTATTGTCATTAATTTAGTTTTATATGCATAAAGATGAGAAAGGTAAACTTTTATATTGCACTAGCATAATTACTACTATTGCATCTCAAGCCAGTACCAATTTGGTGATGACATTTTCTAGACTTAATTTTGTAGTATCATCTTATTATGTGTTGGTTAGTGTTTATCTCTACTTGCTTCAAATTCATGAGATTTTGGACTAAAATTACATCCCAAAAATATTATATTTTGAATCATGTAATAATGTCACTTTCGCATAAACATGTAATAAATTATAAATCAAATTAGATCATTTTTAAGTACGATTGTTCTTACATAAAAGCAATCCCTTCTCATTTTAAGAAATGGTGTCAGTAACCAAATATATGAGTTATATGCAAGCTATATATTATGTTAGATGTATAATTGTTAATGTGATTTAGCACAACATGCATTCTGATTGAGAAACAATGCTAAGTTTTCCTTTTCCCGACGAAATTAAAAAAAAATATTCAGGAGCAATTTCTCCTCTAGAACATAAGAGCATTACTTGTACTACCAGTATATGATTTTTAAATTATTCTTGTACTTTCAACTAACATAATAAGTGCAGGTATAGAAGATTGCAACGTTATAGATTTACAATTTACACATGTATTTTCTAAAGTGAATGTAATGTATCTCGAATTTGCTCTGAGATAGCAATATTTTGAAAGAGGTTTTAAGACAGTGGGTTCAAGTCCTAGTGCACCATAAGGGTAAGACATCGGGTTCAAGTCCTGATGCACTATGATGATAAGAGTTGAATTTGAGTCCCAATTGATTATGGCCTAGCATGTTTTTATATGGGTAATGCATTGGTTTGAGTCCTAATGCACCATATTGATGATCTAATGATGACTAATAAAAAATAATGTATTTTTTATGAAAAAGCATGAAGCTTGTCCCACTTGATTTGCTCCATTCTTGAAGTGAATGTGATAGCGGTACATAATAAATCTAAATGAAGACAAGTGATTGACTAATGAACGTGGTCGTTCCAAAGACCAAAATAATAATAGTCATCATTATGGTAATTATAAAAGGAGAACAATAAGTGTTTTCAAAATAACCCTTTAAAGATGAAGGAATTGTGTATCAATATGGTCTGTAAATATATGGCACGCTCAGACGATTATAGTCCATTTTTTGAAAGAATGCGACTTGTGATAAGCATTGTAAATGCAGATTCATTCCTGTAGTAAGTGTGAAAATATATATGTGATACAAATTATGCACAAGAATGTATTTATGCATGGTTGAATAAATACTACAACTTACCTCATAGGGAGGTTTGAGAGAAATAAAGATAATGAATATTACAATGTGGTTACATGAATATGTGTCACGACCCTAACCCCGAACCCGGTCGTGATGGCGCCTCTCGTGAAGACAAGGCCAGCCAGTTTAATCCAATTCATCTTTTAAAGCAGTTAAACAACACAAAATAGTCTAAACATGATTTAATAATTCTAAGTAGCGGAAATATCAAGAATAATGCGGAAATCCAACCCAACACAACCCTAACCGGGGTG